TCAAGATAGGGTAAAAGATGGGGTTCTAGAACTTCGTGGATATAACGCTGCGCGTTCATGTTACCTCTGGTGAAGATTAAAGGTGACCTGGAACCATAAGCTATAGCACCCCAAACCATAACTCCAACAGTGTGACGAACATGTCTTTCAACAAAAAACTGTGGATTCCTCCTTTCACCACGTCGCCTTCTAACCCTGGCACGACCATCGTGCATGCCTAAACAAAATCGAGACTCGTCACTAAAGACAATACTGTTCCATTCCTGATCCCAGAGTGACCGTTGTCTGCACCACTCAAGGCGATTACGTCGGTGTTCTCGAGTTAAAGGGAGGACCCAGTGTGGCCGGTATGAAAACAAGCCAAAACTTCTCATTCGTCGGTAAACACTTCGCATGCCAATAGGTCTTCCGTGTTCTGCAAACCATTCAATTGCAATGGACCTGGTAGTGGAGAAACGGTCCCTTAAGGCCAATAATCTTAGGCGGCGATCTTCACGGTCTGTTGTTCTACGGCGGCGTCCAGTGCCCCTTGCTCTTTGCGTACGGCCTTCTCGAAGCCATGCCTGACAACACCTAACCACAGTGTCTACACTTCTTTGCACTCTAACTGCAATTGCCCGAAAAGAAAGTCCAGCTTCCCGAAGTCCCACTATATGGCCCCTATCAAACTCACTAAGTTGACGAAATCGTACAGGTCTCCGTGCTCTAGGCATCGTAACCGATCGTAAAGGATGTCAAGAACCAAAATCCGCCAACGTTGATTCTTTACTGCGGCTGAAATATTCATTTTTAGAGCGTTAGTGAATTAAAAAAAAGCAGTATAAAAACCGGAATGTCCAACTGATAAGGCTGAAAATTTTTTCACTTGTTATTTACAGTAAGATAAATACATTCACCAACTTTTATTAAAATAAAACCATTTAAACTGGGTGTTCGGATTTATATGTCACTTAGTATATTTACTTGATGTTCGTATTTATGAGTTTATGAATTTCAGTCCTAGATATAGAATGTAGCCACTTTTTTAAATTTCTTTTGGAACAATTTCCGAAACGTAAATCTTTTAAGTCTTTAGGTATAATTTCATAAAATTTTGGCGCTAAATAGAGATATGACCGATGCATTATAGATTTATGCGGCTGAGGAACTACTGTGCCACGAATTTTGTACCTTGTATAATGATTATGTTTAATTTTTTGGTCGGTATTTACAAATTTATGGTAGTGAGTGATACTGTGTAAGAAATAAAGCTGTCTTATATCATACACTCGAACATCTGCGTATAATTTGTCAGTGGGATAAAGTTTCGTTTTTTTAAACATCATTTTTAGGATACTTTTTTGAAAAACATCTAAATAAATAGATATGTGAGGAATATGCAGCTCCCCATGCTAATACGAGTATACCGTATGTGAGATGAGACTCAATTAGTGCATGGTATAATGTTAGAAGATATTTTTCTGTCAATATATTCCCAAGGTAATTAATTTTGTAGGATACAAATCTAACTTTCTTTAAAATATAATTGACCTGGATGTCCCAACGTAAGTGAGGATCCAAGACCACTCCAAGGTATTTTATGTTGGAGACTCTATTACTTTGCATTTTTTGATCATTAATGTTGAAGGAGAAATTGGTGTAATTTGGCAGATGTCATGCATGAGATCCAAATGGTAAAAACGTATTTTAGAATAGTTAATGCTTAATTTTCTACTGTCAAACCACCGAATAACTCTGATAAAATCATTTTCAATTACATTTTTCAGATCAGACCAGTCAGTGCTTTCATATAATACGAGTATTGCAGTATCATCTGCAAAACTGGTTATTTTGCCAACACAATTAAATTGGAAAATATCATTTAAATTTATATTAAATAACAGTGGACCTTAGACAGTTCCTTGTGGGCACCACACTTAATATACATTTCTTTACTAAACGATCCTGATATCTGCACAGATTGTGGGCGATTTGACACTCGTAGTTTCTTGAAAACTTGTATGTTTTATTTGAGAGTTGAACAATTTTGTGGCGGCGGAATTGTGTTACAAGTAATTTAGACCGTTATCAAAATTCTTTTGCAATATTTTCCGAATAGAATTTGTAAGCGTAGTTGAAAAGTATCGTTTCTAAATAGAAATCATCACATTATTCAAGGTTCTTTAACATTCTGCATACCTTAAGCTATACTCAAGAAAACCTAGAGCGTCAAAAATGTTCATGCACTTAAAGTCAGTCTACTTCATCGGCTTTCTCACAGAGTGTCCTAACCAACGTTTAGTAAATTTTACAGGAAGGCAATAAAACGAAATCAGCGTGCGGTTAGTTGAGCGTTGTATGAAAGGTTTAGATATTTCCGTATTGAAAATTTCACTGTATCAGCCCATATTAATTATCGATCATATGCTGTTTCAATATTTGCGGTAGCTTATCAAGATAATTTGGAAGAAATTGGAAAACGCACGTAGGTCACTTCGTGAGAATTTTCAGAATCTTCCTGTCAGATAGAGCTAAAATATATTTTTATTAACGTTCTTATTATACTTTTTTTAAGATATACAGGATTTATGTCATTTACTTATAAACAAAGAATCATATTTCCAGCCAAGGGGGCGATTATCTCAAAAAATGTTCATTGTTAAATTCTTTAAGTAATCGTTGGTCTGCTAACAGCAGAGTTTACGTAAAAAAGTTCAGATCGACTTTTGAATTTTGGATTTTCCCGTACAAAATTTCCCTGAATGTCCATGCCTAAAACTGAGTTAGATTATGACACAAATATTAGGCGATGAGATGAAGAACACATCTCGAACCCCAAAGTAATTTTTATTAAAAGAAGGGCAACTAATTTCAACATTATCTTTTTGACATATTGGTAGCTACTGTTGATGTATTATCATACACAAAAAAACAAAGGCAGAGTTGTTAATAATTCATTCCGTTTCATGCGGCAATTTTCTAAAGAAGTTTTGGAATTCTGGTGAGCGTACAACGGGTGTTGGATTTTCACATAACGAAATTAAGTCGGAGTACTCCTTTTTTGTTATCTTTACTGGTTCCTTATTAAGTTGTTCTAGCTTAATATCATTCATATACTAAGTGACATATAAATCCGAACACCCAGTTTAAATGGTTTTATTTTAATAAAAGTTGGTGAATGTATTTATCTTACTGTAAATAACAAGTGAAAAAATTTTCAGCCTTATCAGTTGGACATTCCGGTTTCTATACTGCTTTTTTTTAATTCACTAATGCTGTAAAAATGAATATTTCAGCCGCAGTAAAGAATCAACGTTGGCGGATTTTGGTTCTTGCCATCCTTTACGATCGGTTACGATGCCTAGAATATGGAGACCTGTACGATTTCGTCAACTTAGTGAGTTTGATAGGGGCCGTATAGTGGGACTTCGGGAAGCTGGACTTTCTTTTCGGGCAATTGCAGTTAGAGTCCAAAGAAGTGTAGACACGGTGGTTAGGTGTTGTCAGGCATGGCTTCGAGAAGACCGTACGCAAAAAGCAAGGGGCACTGGACGCCGCCGTAGAACAACAGATCATGAAGATCGCCGCCTAAGATTATTGGCCTTAAGGGACCGTTTCTCCACTACCAGGTCCATTGCAAATTAATGGTTTGCAGAACACGGAAGACCTATTGGCATGCGAAGTGTTTACCGACGAATGAGAAGTTTTGGCTTGTTTTCATACCGGCCACACTGGGTCCTCCCTTTAACTCGAGAACACCGACGTAATCGCCTTGAGTGGTGCAGACAACGGTCACTCTGGGATCAGGAATGGAACAGTATTGTCTTTAGTGACGAGTCTCGATTTTGTTTAGGCATGCACGATGGTCGTGCCAGGGTTAGAAGGCGACGTGGTGAAAGGAGGAATCCACAGTTTTTTGTTGAAAGATATGTTCATCACACTGTTGGAGTTATGGTTTGGGGTGCTATAGCTTATGGTTCCAGGTCACCTTTAATCTTCATCAGAGGTAACATGAACGCACAGCGTCATATCCACGAAGTTCTAGAACCCCATCTTTTACCCTATCTTGACACCCTGGCAGATCCAACTTTCCAACAAGATAATGCCCGACCACATGTTGCAAGAGTCACAATAGACTTCTTTCAACTTAATGATGTCACATTGTTACCATGGCCACCAAGATCTCCCGACTTATCCCCAATTGAGCACGTGTGGGATATGATGGGTAGGAGATTGCTCAATTTGCAACGTCCTCCTCAGACTCTAGAAGCACTTCGAGAGGAGTTGGTGGTTGCCTGGAATGAGATACCACAGGAGGACATTGACCACCTGATCAGAAGCATGCCCAGGCGCGTTGGAGAATGCGTAGCACATCAGGGTGCATCCACACATGATTAAAGGTCAAAGGGCTTTAAAGCTGTGCAATCATTTTGAAATTTTTATCATTTACTTATTATGCTTCATTAAGTACTTATACAAAATTTTATTAAAATAAAACCATTTAAACTGGGTGTTCGGATTTATATGTCACTTAGTATATTAATACTTTTTGTCATCAGTCTGTTTAACTCAATACGGTCAACTAGTATCGTAGTAGCTAGACTTGAAAAATATTTTGGTGGGCATGCCTTTTCTTACCATAAACTCCATAATACCCGTTCATTTAATATTCTGCCCTTTCTCAGTTTGCCGTGTGGACAACACTCTTACATCTTTTGAAAGTTTCTGGAAGTCAAAAAATTTCATTGGCATTACTAAATCGAAAAACCGGATAGAGTTGTGAGGGTTCAAAGAGATTTCCAGCTCCCTTTGTTGCAGTATGAATTACACTTTGGCCATGATTCGACCACCGAGGTGGTCATTTAGGTCTCTTCGTGGGAATTATATATTTACATTTGTAGATAAGACACCCAGGGGTTAATGATATGTGGCCTACACTACAAGATATATAGCTATGACTCTTCGTCTTCGGCATGGAATAATACACCTATACGCCGGTTATCTCAATTTTTTGTATTTGGTCAGTTAGGACACTTCGTGAGAAAGGCGACGACTTGATCCGATCTTTCTGGAGACAACCGAAACTCTGTGTTTGAATCTCTCACCTTTTCTTGATGTTCCTTACAAATTGCAATAAACTTCTTCATATCGTCCAGCGTAGGTGGTTCAAACTCTACAACCGGTATCACGGTCCATTTAATATGATTTCGGATACTATCGTCATCCATCGGAGGCGTTCTATCTTCTGATAGCGTCACTAGATGCCCAATGCCATTTTCTACCAAATACCTAATTTCAGACGTGTTTGATGGGCAAGCCATACCTGCAAGACATCCTTCCACCATCCATGAGAAGTTGTATGGGGGAGTGCTGTATTCTGAAATTGAAAAAAAAATGGTCCTTCGTGTGGGTTGTTTCATACAGCATGTTTGAGTAATGTCATAAAAATATGTTTGATAAGGACATTTTGTTTCGCCATATCGATGACAAAAAGGAAATTCCTTTGCATCTGTTCGGAAAAATATTGTGATTTAGTTTTTTAGACCTAAGTAAAATTCTGTGAAAAGCAGATATGTTAATAAAAAGCCACGGATTTCAAATTCCACTTTACGAATACTAAAACTACAAGCCTCTGTAGCTCAGTGGCAGTGCACTGGTCTTTTATTTTTAATTACAAAGGTAGTAGGTTGTCGAACAATCAATCATAATTAATGACCTCAAAATAAAATTATAATAAAATTGAAGTTATTAACAGAATAATTCAATTCCGAGTAAAAAGCATTTAACTACATTTTTATAACTCTCCTCTGATAGATAGTTGCCAACAGAATGATTCTGACATTTAATATATCCAGCACCCCATGCTTTTTGCTATGAATTGAATTATTCTGTTAATAACTTAAATTTTCTCATAATTTTATTTTGAGGTCATTAATTACACTGGACAACAAATTTTAGTTTTTTAATTGTATCTTGTGGGAAAAGTGCACTTCTTTGTTAATTTTGGGGCGCTGAATCCAAAAATGACAATGAAATAAAAAAATTAGTTGCGGTTTAGAAAAAAACTTTTTATTTTTAAGGATATATTAAAAAAAGTAACAAGATTCATATACTTATAAGAATCACTATATGCGCTGTCTTTTTGCTGTTCTTTTATGGATCGTTTCTGGAGCATCTCTACCAAGAGTCCAACAGTAGTCTGCAAGCATGGAAGGATTCCACTTTCCCTGGTACCTTTTTTCCATTGTTGAAATACCCTGATGAAAACGTTCGCCGTGCTCATCACTTACGGCTCCGCGATTGTCAGGAAATGTATCTTAAGAGACATATTACAGCCCATCTTTTGATACGATGACAGCATATTTTTGACAAGGGTTTTATAGTTGTCAGCTTTTCTATTTCCCAAGAAATTAGTGACCACCAGACGGAAATCATTCCAAGCAGTTTTTTCAATACCTGTTAAAGTGTTTTCAAACTGTGTATCCTTCAAAATATTTCGGATCTGTGGCCCGCAAAAATACCTTCTTTAACCTTTGCCTCACTTAGTCTTGGAAATTTCTGACGCAGGTATTGAAAAGCTGACCCATCTCTATCTAATGCCTTGACAAAGTTTTTCATTAGGCCCAACTTGATATGCAGTGGTGGTAATACATTTTTTTTCGAATCTACTAATGGCATATGCTGTACATTTTTTTGACCTGGCTCTAGGAATTGACGAACAGGCCAGTTTTGTCTGGTGTAATGAAGTGCCTTTGCCCGACTGTCCCATTCACACAAAAAACAACAAAACTTTGTGTAGCCTAGCTGCAGCCCAAGTAAAAGTGCAACAACTTTCAAATCGCCACAAATATGCCATTGGTGCTCATCGTATTTTATGCATGGTACTTCATATTGTCATATGATTCTTTCATGTGAACTGCATACCCTACAGGAAGAGATGGTAAAATATTTCCAATATGCAAGAACACTGCCTTTAAACTCAATGTTGAACTATCTATAAACAATCTCCATTCTTCTGGGTTATAGTTTATATTTAAAGCTGCCAGTAAGCCGTTAATGTTACTGCAGAAAACCAAGTTATTCTGCATATTGAAAAATGGTTCTAAGTCTTTGTGGCCTTTACGAAAATCACATACCGAAACATCGTCTTCTAACAAGTTCCACTGCTGCAGTCTTGATCCAAGTAACTCTGCCTTACATTTTGGAAGTTCTAAATCTCTTACAAGATCATTTAATTCTGACTGTATTATTTTGTGCGGTTGGTGGCATGACGTGCTCTGTATAAAATCAGGATCTCTTGACGTTGATGGCATATCCTCTTCCTGACGAATCACTCGATCGCCATGATCTGATTCGTTTTCTGATTCGCAAGTGTAGGATTCTGGGGGTTTTGGAATAGGCTTTTCGTCACTGTGAGGCACAGGTCGCATCGCAGATGGTATGTTTGGGTAGTTAATAACCGATTTTTTTTTCTTGGACATACCTGTGGCTTGTCCAACACAAGGTACCATGCAAAAGTAACAATCATTAATATGATTTGTAGGCTCTCTCCAAACCATTGGGACAGCAAAGCGCATAGACCGTTTTTTGCCACTAAACCAGCTCCTCAGACTTGAAGCACATGTATTACAGCAGATGTGGGGTGCCCACTGTTTTTCTTGATCACCTAGTTTACAACCGAAATAAAGCTGATATGCCTTTGTTATTAGTGGAGTAATAGACCGTCTCTGAGACGCAAAAGTCACATCACCACACACGTAACAAAACTGATCTGGATTGTTTACACACTTTCGAGACATCTTGCATGAACGCTGTCAGCCAACTGAGGAAAAAATGGCTAATATAAAACAATATAATGTACACGTATGTATAACGTAACACAATCATGCCTATTACATCATCTTTCCTTGCCGAATATAAAAATGTAGCACGTGCATTCTTGTGAATTACACTATATTAACACTGTCACAGCAGGAACACATATAATTGCCGTATCTCTAAAACTTGAACTAATATTGAAAAAATAAGTTTCATTCCGGTTTTAGCACATTAAAAATAGTAATATTTTGTTTATTTTATTTAGGATATTTTTTTTCTGTTGATCAGTGTTATGATTGACTGTTTGACCATCTACTAGTGTAATATAAGCTTTTTGTAATTAAAAATTATTTATAAGGCGTGTTTTTTTAGTTTTTTTAAACTATTGTTATTTATTTAATAAGATTATGCAAAAAACAGCCAGAATATGTTTCTAGGCAGATGCGAAGATATTTTCTGAACAATGAAGTCTTAGCTTGATGTTCTAAATAACTATGAGGATGGTACCGACACGTTTTTCAAATGCAAGCTATGTACAGGGTGTTCCTTAATGATATGCGAATATTTATGGATGTGAATCTACATGAAAAATTAATGTTAGTTTGCTTTATAAACTATGGTCTAAAAATGTTTCCTTACAAGAAGTTTCAGGAAAAAAATTGAAAGTAATTAATATTTTCAGAAACGCTTCAGATATTTCACTGATATTTTGTACGTGGTGAAAGTTAATACAGTTGCATATTTTTTAATGCAAAAATAATTTTTAGCTTTAACAATGTCGTGCGTACGAGTATTGACTTCAATATTTTTTAAGAAAAAAGTGGCACGCCAATGTTTTTTGCGGTATTTTTAAATTTAAAACAAATGATCTCTCTTGAGTTATTTTCCTTCGATGCGCCATTTTTGAGTAAAAAAAAATAAAAACCGTTCTATTGTCTAACTTGTAAACTTATTATTAATTTAACACATTAGGGGTAATGAACAATAACAACTGACAAGATAAACATGACATTCAAACCAACGGAATGATTTCAAAAATTGTTGAAAATGGCCTCATTCAATTGCGCACTCGTTGAAATATCCCTGGAGTGTTATTTTATTCTATCACAAGCTGCAACTATTCTTTCTCTTAATTCCTCTACAGGGTTAATGGGACTTGTGTATACTAGTGTCTTAAGATAGCCTCACAAAAAGAAATCTAAACTATTGAGGTCTGGGGACCTTGATGACCATTCTTGGGGCCCACCGCGGCCAATCTAATGATTTGGATAAACAGTTTGTAAATAATTACGAAGCGCTACACTGAAATGCGCTGGTGCACCATCATGCAGGTACCACATATTGTTTCTTATTACTAACGGAACATCATCAAGCAGCAAAGGTAACTGTTGTTGAAGAAAATTGAGGGAATTCAAAAATAATGTTTATTTGGCAAAAAGCCATTGGCGAACCATTTTTTTCCTGAATAATTTTGAAGTCAATACGCGTATGCACGCCACTGTTAAAGCTAAAAATTATTTTTGCATTGAAAAATATGTAACTTTATTAACTTCCACTACGTACTATACAATATCAGTGGAATATCTGAAACGGTTCTGAAAATATTAATTAATTTCCATTTTTTTCCGACAACTTAAACACTCCGAGTTTTTGTAATGAAACATTTTTGGACCATAGTTTATAGAGCAAAGTAACATTAATTTGGATGTAGATTCACACCCTTAAATATTGACATATCGTTAAGGAACACCCTGTATAATTACTGTTTTCACACCTCGCTAAACTTCCCAAACTACTCCTCTAAGCCTGAAAACAATATATCTCTCCATTTTCGTTGTTAGAATTCACATTCGAATTCTATGTTTCACCACCCTTCTCAAGCGGTGGAGGCTCAATTTGAAATACCGGAATAACTTCTGACATGACTATAGAACAAACATTTCATCTGGCTTGAATTTCTTTGTCATGCCAAGAATCAAGATCTTTGTTCTCGGGTTAAATAAATAAGATAAAAAAGAAGCTTTCATAAACCTGTTAATAAAATGAGAATAATTTTTCGGTTGTAAATATTCAAACGATAATGAAGCTCCGTTATATCAAGTTTTCAAATAAAAGCATGTTACACCCTTTTTATATCCTCATGTTAAAACTTGACACGCTTTTATTTGAAAACTTGAGATGAAGGAGCTTCATCATTGTGTAAATAACTACAATCGGAAAAATTATTTTTAAATTTTAGGTTCATTTATTTTCATCATTTGCTTTTTGTTATTTGATCCCAAATAACTAGTTTGGTAATTTCTTTATAATCTTCATACAGAGTGTTCATTTGAAAACTTCCAACCGCTCATAAAAAAAACGCCAAGGCACGTCAAAAGATTTATCAAGGGAGACAACTACTACCAACCCCTTTCGCCCTCGCCCCCCAGGGCCATTCCCTTAAAAACTTCAAATGACCAGGGGTATCGAGTAATAGCTTGTTGAAAGGTCTTTTTATTCTAACTTTTGGTTTTTCAAAATCAGTCGATTCGTTTTCGAGACAGTTAGAAAAATCTTTATTTATCTCAGTTTGTTCATATAAAAAACAAAAACACACGAAAATATCACTTTTTATTTCAATAAGTGTTCAAAATTTTGTCCGTTAGGGTTTGCCAAATCTACAATTCGTTTATACGTATTTTAAAACGGAAACTACCAACATAAACAGCAATTCGGAAGATCAGACGTGGCAACAACCAAATAACAACCCGAATTTCTTCCGCGTTCTTTTCATCAACACAGATACCCTGGTCGAACTACATTTATTGTTATGCCTGCTTACTTATTTGTTGATGAGGGAAAGAAAGAATTTGATTTGCCGTCAGTTACCTTTGTGACAATCTTGGGATAGTGAGAATTAATTTATTGATTCAGATTTTACTTTCAAAATCGTTTACACACTAGCCGAAGGAGTGAAAATGATTCTAACTTGTGGTGCCGAAAATCAATGTGCTCGCCAAACTGCCGCCACGTTTAACGCCAGACATCCGGGGATATCCGCATAGGCATGTTTTGGACCTTGTTACTAAATTTACCCAAACTGGATCGGCTGCAAATAAAAAACGTAATCATCGGAGGGTTTTGGATAAAGCCGCTAAAGTTGAAGTTTTGGGTCATTTTGAAATAAATCCTAATACTTCATTACGCAAAATTGTTGCTGCGACTGGTATTTCATTAGGTTCGGTACCCACAGTTACTAAACTCCATACACTTAATCCATTCAAAATAAAAATATTGCAAGAGTTAACCGAAGATGATTCCGATAATTGAGTTGAGTTTTGTGATCAAATAACAAATTAATGATAATACCATTCATGTAAAGAATATCTGCTTCAATGATGAATTCACATTTTATCTAAATGGATTTGTCATTGAGCATAACTGCAGGTATTGGAGCAATGAAAATCCTCATGGTTTTGTAGAAAGGCATACCCAGTACCCCCAAAAAATTAATATATGGGCAGGCACTTCAGGGAAGAAAGTGAGGGCCATTGTTTTCTAATGGAAATTTGAATGGAGACATTTATTTGGATATGTTGGATAATTCCATCAACCTGCTCACTGAAACCATTGAAAACCAATTCGAAAGGGATAGAAACCCTATACTTGATGAGGCTGAAATATGTTTTCAGCAAAACGGCGCTCCCCCTCACTATGTTCTTCCGGTTCGGCAACGGCTAGACGATGAGTAAAAGTTTGGATGAACTTCGTCAACGCATCATCGAAAGCTGCCAAGATATCCCACAACACGTTTATGAAAATGTCCGTCAGGAATTTGAACATCGCCTATATCATTGAAATATATTGAAATAAAAAGTGATATTTTCGTATGTTTTTGTTTTCTATCTAATCAAATCAAATTCATTAAAAAGTTGTTCCCATCGACAAATCCGTTGACGTGTCTCGGTGTTTTTCTTTTAATCAGTGGTTTTCGATAAATCCGTGGTTGGAAGTTTTCAAACGAAAACCCTGTATAAAACTTCATCAATATGACTTCATAGAACTTCATATATTCTTACTCGTATTATAAAATTTCGACAGAACGTCTAATGATACGTCGATATACTCTGAGGTGATCGCCATATGGAATTCAGAATGACGTCACGTTGCTCATTGTGTATTCCTCATTAAGCCCTTTCATTTGGTACTGATGCCATAGTGGTTACCATGGAAATGGTTTTGAAACATCCATATTGGATTCAAAGTGGCGGCAGGTAAATTATTTTGTATTGTCACGCGTGTGTATAAAATTTCATCTCAATTGATACAAAATTCAGTTCCAAGATGTGTACCCCCATATACAAACAAGTCAAAAGTTACGTAAAAGGTTGTATGTACATTAAATCTCAATACTGGCTCAAAGCAGCAAACTGTTATTTATGGCAGAATTTACATTTATATTTTCAGCTCCTTGAAGGGAACAAGAAAGCTTAAATATGATAATTTTCTGAATTATGAATTCTTTTCATGAATTTCCAGATATACTGCTAGTGAGGTTGTGGTTAGGATATACAGATGGCTCATTTAAAAGCAGTGATGGGCGTTTACGCGTATACATTAATTGTCTACGTCTCGATCTCGATGTATACAATGCGTATACAATGAATGTATACAATGATGAAGACAATCTATAGAATAGCATAAGTGAGGTTAGGTTTATTCGCAAACGTCAGAAAGTTGGTAAACAGTGAACCGATAACTTAAAAAATATATGGTTGGACGCTCCAAGAACAAAGAAATCGACTAACTAGGGTTCATTTGTTGTTTTTAATTTATTTAAAACTGTATCTTTGTATACGTATATAAATAAATACTATATATTTTTTCATTACTTATAAACTGCATCCACAGTCAGACTAATAAGGCAATGTTGCAGAATGTGTATCTATCCTGAACATTCAGTTCAACCTAAAATCGGAGAACGATTAGGATCGATCTGGAATTGATCCCAAACAAGTTCGACAGAAATTTGTATTTGAGCGTAGAAAACAAGGCGTTGCAGCAAGTTACAGTTGTGTTCTGTGGCCTTCATGTGCCAGGCAACGTGGTATTTGACTCTTTCTACACAAGTGGTGCCCGTTTGACCCCCGCTCTCACTTACTCGTACACATGGAAATCTAAAAGGGAAAAGGACATTTGCCAGCACTATATGCAAGTAGTTGAACGATGATTTGCTATTGTATACATTGTAAAGGGAAACGAGACGCATATATATTCACCATTGTATACGCGTATACAATGGTGTATTATATATGGTGTATACAATGTGCCCATCACTGCTTAAAAGCACCTTCAGATTAAAAAACCGCTTGCCGAATTCATCAGAGCAATACGATTTTCACCAACCTAACGCTTTGCTCAGAATGACGTAATACACAGAAGCAAGTCAAACAATACAAAGCATAACTATTATTAACATTCGAGGAGCTATTATTAGCTTGCAGCATTTTGTATTTACCTAGTTCACTGCCAGTGCACAGCATCGCGATCTACGAGAAAAAAAAAGTGCACACCGAAACGGATTTATTATTTGCATCTAATTTCACACCGTTCAGTGGTCCGGAGTATTTACTCTACCAGATTGGATAGTTTGGACAAAGTATACCAAATGCTAGTAGTAGGATCACTCAGTGGTTAAACCAGTTTGTCCGTTGGTCGTTGACTTGTTAGACTATTGTCGGAGCCAAGACCGATCCCTGGGGAGCATCCGCGTTTACATTGTGGGATGAAGAGGAAAACCCGGCAATTATTTATTTATTTAAACTCTTACAAACACATTTGAATGTAGCTACATGTAGGAGTGCTTACTGGCTAGTAGAGAAACAGAGAATACACAAAAACTTATAACCAAAAAATAACGACAAAAAAAACTATAAAAATTAACAAACTACTTACTTTACTTAAATTAAAAATCAGTCTTAATTTGTCTCATAGTAGTCGAAAGGAGATCCACATCACAATTGTGTATACAGGGTATCACGAAAAAAGTGTGCAATATTGTACCAGCGGCTTGTAGAGCTTAAAATAGGAAGAAAAGTGTATATAAACATAGGTCGACAAACGTCCCTTAAGGGCGCTACCGTCTCCCCTGAAGATGGTTTTTCCTTAATATTTCCGAAACGTGTTGAAATAAAGACGTAAAATTTGGTATTCTAGCCTAGTTTTTTATGTTGGATTTAAAAATATGAACAATTTTAGACAGTTTTATTTGGAAGCGTATGTAACAGGGACGGACTCAGGTTATTTTAGCCCCAAAATGTTTGTGTGATTCTATTTTTGAAATTCAATTTTAGAATTTGAAAATTTAGGGTTTTCTACATAAAAAAGGTACTCTTATTGAATATCGATGAATTGTGCCATTTTTGAATAAAATCAAACTAACAAATTTGTCACATGATAGGAAATGTACTGCGAAGTTAAATGAATTGTTGAATAACTAGCCATGGCAACGAAAAAACTAATTTATTAATTGGTAAATATTACATAAATACATTGCATAATAGCTATTATATAGGCAAAAACAAAAGAAATAAATTTTTTCTACGAACGAAATTGAAATTTGTTTAAAAAAGGAGACATACAGTTGGATATACTTAAAATTAGCTTTACAATAAGTGTTCAAATAAATTTCTATTTTGTTGGATACAGAGTCTCGCTCGACGAACTAATGATTGCGTAGCCCGAAAAGTGGAAAACATTTTTGTTCTTATTTCATTTGCAGCCTGATGGATTCTTTGAAGTAAATCTTCTTGAGTATTTACTTCAATCGAGTAAACTAGGTCTTTTAATGACCCCCAACAATAGAAATCCAATGTATTTAGGTCAGATGAACATGGCGGCCGCGCTATAGGACCTCCTCGGCCTAACCACGTGTCTGGAAAATTGACATTCAACCAATTTCAAACATTGCGTCCAAAATGTGCAGGGGCGCCATCATGTTGAAAAAACATATTTTCTTGAAACTGCTGGCGCACATCCAGTGGTATTATATCCATGAGCTCATTCTGAAGAAAGTTCAGATACACCTCTGAATTACGACGATTGGGAAGTACAATAGGCTCAATTACTTGATCCCCAATTACTCCTGCCCATAAGTTCAATGAAAATCTATGTTGGAAATTTGTACGGCGAACAACTTTTGGATTTTCATTTGACCAGTGATGCATGTTATGGAAATTAAAAGCACCATTCCTAGTAAATATTGACTCATCCGTCCATAATATTCTAGGAATAGTGTTTTCATTTACTAAGATCCACTGGCAAAACTCGATTCGTGGTAAAAAATCTGTCTCCGTTAAATGCTGCACCCGTTTAAAATGATAAGGATGTAATCCTTGCATTCTTGTCATTCTTCCTATCTAAAATTATTATTTTTAGGATAACTATCAAATAGGTATTCATAGGTATTCATACTATCTTACTATTGATCGAGGTATATCCATAATTTCTGAAACATTTCGTATGCTTATTTGCGGATTATTTTCAAACATATTTAAAGCAATATCCATACGATGATTTCCCAGTGGCCTTCCTGAGCTCTGCATGCGCTGAAAACTTCCATGGTTTGACAAATTCCAGTGAATATCAGTAAACATTAGCCCCAATTCACACTGGGGGGACGGTGGCGAGGACGTGGCAAGGACATGGCACAGACGTTGCGGAGACGTGACATGTGCCAATGCACACACAAGGAGCGGGGTAGTCACGAAAACGAAAGATTTCGAACATTCGCTGGAACATCGAGGTGAAGTTTAAGGGCCACAAACGAATGGATTTCTCAAGCAGTGATGAAGATGATGAAGATATGTTGGATCTGGTTTACTTGGGTAATATGCAGAAAACCAGACGATTTTGGATGCATCCATTGTGGCTAAAGAAGGGGAAAACGTGTGGAACATTCGACGTTATGCGTGAACTGAACACATACCCAGAACGATTCCAGAATTTTTATAGGATGTCCCGTGAGTGTTTTTATAATGTATTGGCACTTGTAAAAGAAGGCCTTTAAAAGAGATCAACCAATTTTAGGGAACCAATTTGCCCAGAAGAGAGACTACTGATTACTTTAAGGTAAGTAACTGAATGAATTAATTTAGTAATAAATTTTTTTGCGATTTTCTGCCACGCTTGGTCCTGAGCACTCCTATTACAATAATCTGAACGACTGTAGTCGTACAAGCATGGATATTTTTCAATTTCCTCGCAAAATTGAATGTTAAATTCAATATCGTCTCGCATTTTTAAAAAGTTTTAAGTAAGCAACAAGTGTCGTGCAACGGACGTGTCTGTTCTTGTACGCCACAAGAGACTGGAAGAAGACGTGGCAAGGGCGCGATGGCGACCGCCAGCGCCACGTTGCCGCTGTGTGCATTGGACAATTCAATTATATAGGAGAGACGCTGAATTGACATAAGTCTGTGCCACGTCCTCGCCTCACGTCCGTTCAGTGTGCATCGCGCCTTAGACGTCCAGGTACTATGCGATTGGGAAATCTTCTTTGATATTCTCTTACGGCTGCCAATGAACTGCCATTGCAAAACCCGTACACAAAATGCATATCAGTCAGATCTCTGTCTGTAAATCTTGGCATTTTAAATCGATTTAATAAAAATTTTGATATTAATCTAGTAATTTTACACTGCTAACAAAGTCAGCTTAACGTCAAAATAAATCATAACAAATCAAAGCAACATTTGTTTGCAGTCATGGCTAACTATGTATAATCAACAATTCATTTAAATTCGCAGTACATTTCCTATCATGTGACAAATTTTTTAGTTTGATTTTATTCAAAAATGGCACAATTTATAGATATTCAATAAGAGTATCTTTTTTATGTAGAAGACCCTAAATTTTCAAATTCTAAAATTGAACTTCAAAAATAGAATCACACAAAAATGTTGAGGCTAGAATAACCCGAGTCCGTCCCTGTTACATATGCTTCCAAACAAAACTGTCTAAAATTGTTAATATTTTTAAATCCAAAATAAAAAACTAGGCTAGAATACCAAATTTTATGTCTTTGTCTCAACACGTTTCGGAAATATTAAGGAAAAACCATCTTCAGGGGAGACCCTTTAAAAGACCGTAGCGTTCTTAGGAGACATTTGTCGACCTATGTTTATATAAACTTTTCTTCCTATTTATGCTCTAGAAACCGCTGGTAGAATATTGCACACTTTTTTCGGGACACCCTGTATAACTATTACACTCATACATCATTCTATTGATAGAAGAAAAACTTACAGGTGAACAGCGAAAGAGTTTGTTGCCTCTTATTCTCAAGTTGATTCTAGGAACAGCAAAGAATATATTATTTATTAGGAAACACTTTTTATATTTTAAATTATTAATTATGTAGTAAATGAACCAGATACCATTCAAACCACGCCTAACGCTCAACCGCACAATTTTAAATTCTGTTAGCATACAATTATAAGAGATCATGTATGGATAAGCATTGTGTGTTCTTAAGTACAGATATCTTAAAAATCTTTTTTGTATCCTTTTGATCATATCAACATGCACCATTGTTTTGGGTGCCCAGACGACAGAGGCATACTCCAAAACAGGTCGGACCAGTGAGTTGTAAAAAATTATTATAGACAGGAAATAATGGAAATAACATAGATAGAAACAGTCACTCTTTCTATTTTCAACCCGCTGTAAGTTGTGGCATAATATCAATAGTAAATAACTTTAAAAACTCCAACTCTACTAGCGCAGATAAAATTAGTGCAAATATTTTAAAAATGTTATCTAGTTTCCTTAGCCAACCTCTAGAATTTCTAATTAATTGTTCCATTGAGGAGGGGACATTTCCAGTTAAACTTAAAGTTGCAAAAATTAAGCCCTTGTTCAAGTCGGGTGATAACCACGACATCTGTAATTTTAGGCCAATTTCAATAATTAGTCCCTTTGCGAAAGTATTTGGGGAAATATGCTTCATTACAAATTGTCAACTTTTTTGACAGTTTCAAATTATTCAATAGCATACAGTTTGGATTCAGAAAAGGTTTGTTAACCAAAAACGCTGTGCTTCATTTTCTCGATGAACTGTATTTGAAAATGGATAATGGCGAAAAGTGTGTAGGAATATTTCTTGACTTGAGTAAAGCTTTTGACTTAGTTGACCATGTAATGATATGGAATCAGAGATATTATTATTTCCTTAAAGTGCCCTGTATTCCTTATCATAAAACCCAGGATCCTATATGCTTTGTTTACAATAGTTTCATATTGCTATTTAAATTTTAGGTTAGTCTGAAAGCAGACCAAAAATCCTTGCATTCACTTTTCCTACTTAGCAATAAGTTATCAATTCTGTAATGAAAATCTATAAATTGTGCTTTTCGTGTAAAAGTTAAGCTATGACATCTGGCAATATTCAACGAGATTTTGTTCTCCTTGAACCACTGGGACACTGAACTTAAATCAATTTGCATCTCAATACAATCTTGAAGGCAAGTTATATGCTTGTATATTTTAAAAGCATCAGCAAATTTGAGACATTTGGCACATTTTACACAGTTTTTCAAATCATTCAGAAAA